TTGTTTTGTAGAAAGTGTAAAAAAAAAAGACGTCTTGATATTAATATTATAATAAATGTTGAGATGTCTAACCTCAGTATATAATAAATGAGATTTAAATGAAGATTATGTGCATCATATTATACTCATCTTGTGTGTGATTGTGATTAAAAATTTTGATATTTTTAATGTGAAATAAAACATATTGATTTTTCACATCCGACTTTAAAGTGGAAATTCTAAGAATCGATTTGTAATGTATTAGTAGGTGATTGACCCAGCTGTTGATTTGAATTTGGGAAGAAGTTTCAACGTATATAGAAGGTCAATAATTGAAAACTAATAAAGAGGTGGGATTTCCCTTTCTTGTAATTAAGTGGCCGACTCACTGACTCATTGCCTTAAAATAAAGATACATTTGATTGGATATTGGATAATAAAAGTGTAGACTTGAAGATAGTATTAATTGTGTGGTCCAATTTGCCATTTAATTCATATTTAATTAGGAACTATTTTGATTCATCTATATATACATATATATTAAAAAATAAAAAAAACCCAAACCGGAAGAAGATAAATTATGTGATACTCCATTATTAAAGGTTAGGTTAGGAGTACGCGTCCAGTTTCATGCTGGCTCACAACCAGGCATATATTTAATGTCTAGATGGTGAACGGTGTACATTTTGTTGAGAATTAAGAAATATCAATAGTTTTATAAAATTTTTAATATTTAGCTACAGGATCGATCATATATTTAACTCCGTATTATCTTTGTTTAATATTTTACACAACATGAATGGAGTAATTATTGATTGCATTTTAATTACTTTCCCCCTGTAAGATAAATTGCTCTCTACTTTATTTTTAGAATCAAAATTTCGGTTGGAATATTGTCCCATTCATACGCATGGTTGCAACTGATTCAATTTTCTCACCTAATAACTTAATTAAGCTCTTTTTTTTGGTTTATTATTTTTGACTAGGCAAGTTGTGTTGTTTACCTACAGCTAGCTAATCTCGGGTGCGTGTGTCTATATATATATATATATATATATATATATTAAGTTACACAATAGACAATAATTTTCTCTCATTTTTAAATTTATTTTGTATATCATATTATTTGAATTTAAAAGTTTTTTATTTCATTAAAAAATTATCATTAAATTATTTAAATTATTGTTACCAACCTAGTATGATTGTATTGATTATATCAATGGACCGGCAAGAAGCCAGACATGACTTATGTATTTAGAACATGCAGTACATTTTAGTAGATTTTATCATTATTGGCATATTTTTATAAGTTAAAT